ATGAATAATATTTCGTTTATTCAGAGGTGAGAATTGAGAAAATTTTCGAAAAAAAGAGACGATGTTTTGCGAAAATTACGATATTGGTTATAAACAAATTTATGATTATCCATTGAAAACAAATCTATTGGATTGTATTTTTACCATTTTAAATTTAATAACGAATGGAGAACGGTAATTTTTTTCTTTATTCCATTTTATTATTTATTTATTTATTTTTATAATTTATTTTTGATTTTAACGTGAATAAGAAATATATAGTAAATAGATGGTAGTAGTTAAGTTAGTTTTCTGGGACTTTGTCATTCTTTTTTCTAAGAGCATTGATCATTTCTGGTTAGACTCGCTCCACTGTTTTGTCGGACCTGGCAAATTTTGGCAATGATTCAGTTGATGTAGAAATATAGGTGAATCGCTAGTGTAGAACATATTTTCGAAAAATTAGCCCTATCTGGAGTAGAACTTCTGCATCGATGCTCTGAAATGAGAATAGCAACCTAATGAGGTATTCTAACACCGATATTCTATTATGGAGTAAAAAAATTAACGGCAAATGAGACTGATATATTATGCTAAAGTGATTATTATGATTATTCGTTAATGTAATAGGAAAATTATATGAAAATGTAAAATTGTATGAAAATTATATAAAAATTTCATAGTTTTGATGATTATTTTTATCTTAATATTCTTATTAATATTCTTATATTAATTTCTTTTTTAATCTCTTAAATAAAAAATCTTTCCAATGTTATAAAGTTTTTCGACAGCCTTAATTTACTAAATCGGCTTATCGGCTTATCACTGAACATTATTTTGTATTTTATGATTTAAAATTCATTTGCTCTTGAAAAAAAGTGAAATCCAGACCATCTAAGCTCAAACAAATATTACCATATTGATCGCCAGATAAATCTTTCTTTATAAATTTATAAACATAAATTTGAAATTTCGATAGGAATTTCGATTTATGCGACAATTTTTCGCAAAAATTCTCGATAATATTTAATTGTTGAGAATTAAGAACTATTTTAATTTAATTCCGAATAACTATTTTTAAAATATATATTGGCTAAATAATCTCAAAGAAAAAAATAATTTCAGCGAAGCCGATTGTGCGAAATTAATCAGCGTTCCTAGAAGTTACCATGGTTCATAATAAATATTCAATGAAATTGACCAAATGACGAAAGCTTCTATTTTTATTGCTGAACGAATTAAAATTATTTATAATAATAATATTATTATTGAGATGTTTATGCTCAGAAATTAATAGAAACTTTTTATCAGTGATTTCATTACCGTTATTATTTATTAATGTTTTCGTTAAACAAAATTAGGTTATTGATAAGGTTATTGATAACCGTATTAAATAAAGAGAGAATTGATAAAGGAGGATTGAAAATTTTTCCGAAAATTTCACTGATATTTTACTTATTTATATTTATTAATTGAAAATATGTTGTCGTTCAATATTTCGTAAATTCAAAGCGCAAGCAAATTTCTTCGAGCATTATTACCGTTTTTCGAATATAATGTTGTTTATAAATTCTGAATTGATCTGATTTTAAATTAAATTTCAAATTTCACCATTGATTTTAAATAACAAATTTTATCAAATTATCGAAATATTTTCGATATAAAAAAAAATTTCTCTAAAATAAAAAATAAAAATGAAGAAATAAAAATTGTGGCATCAATCAAATGTTTCATTCTTATAAAACACAACAATGAAAATGTTAAAACGAAAATTGAAAAAAAGAAATATAAAGAAATATTTTCCTAGTATATCACATAATAATATTGCTACTGTATATCACAACACTTTGACGTTATCGAAAGGAAAACTGAGATATCAGTAATCTGTTAAAATGCTGATAATAATCTCGAAGTTATCTCTTTATAATGAAAGAGTTTTCGTTTCCATTTAACGATAAATTATTGTCGATTATACGATAAAGAATATTATTCATCGTTTATCATTTAAAAAATATTTATCAATTTTATATAAACTATCATAGAATAATATATTAGTCAATTTTTTTTCTCTCGAGAAAAGATTTGAGAAAAATTTTTTTTATCGCGAAACTCATTTGTCTTTACTGATTTTCATCTGCGAGGATATTTATTAATGGTGCTGATTTTTGGAAAAAATTTTGGCATAAATAATGAATTATTATCTCGCGATAATTTGTGCAATTTATCATGAACAGCGCGTATCGATGTTTCTTTTTTTTTTGTCGAAAGTTTTAAATTCCTAAATATTTGTACAAATCCTTTTTTTTTATATGACAAATGACTTACGGATTTTAAAATATTGCTGGATCATTGAAATATTTTGAAATTTAAACAGCGTCGTCTAATTATTTTCTTCAAATTCACTTTTATAAATATAAATATTAATATGATATATAAATATTTATCATATATCACAATTACCACTATTTTATCGGTGTGTGTGGCGTGAGTTTTCGTCAATGATCAATGTTAGGCCTAAAGGTTAAGGAGATTGAAAGGAAGGATACCTGCACTTAAGGATTCTACATACTAGTTTACACTGGAGCTTCGGTCTTTTGTGCTAAAGAAGCTACATCAACATCGTCGGACGCATAGAGTATACGCATTCTTTCTGCAATTATTACCAAATGGACAAGGTACCAAGAACTTGGATTTTCTTGAAAAGCACTTAGGTGTAGCACGAAATAAATTTTTGGGAATACATACCTCCTTCTCAAATCTATTTGAGATCTGAAATCTGTTTTATAACTTAAAGATAAACAAGACTGAAATTAGAATTACTGATACTAAAAAAAATAAATATTGAAAAATACAAAAAAAATTGTGAAAAATTTAAATTTAGGGAGTTAGTGGTACTTAATCGAAAGATTATTTGGCGGTAACCAAGTGTAATTTGTAAATTGTAAGTTCTCAATAGAGGCTTTCCAGGCTTTCACATGTTTTAATAGATTATATAGCCTAATATATCGCAAGAAAAATATTATCACACAAAGTTTTGCTTCATATTCAACCTGTCGAAATTTTTAATTTATGATAGGCTTAAATTTAAATTTTCTTTTGAGAGCACTCATTACTGATGGTTAAACTCGCTTCGCTGTCTTATCGGAGTAGACGAATATGCCAGGGAGTCCCTGAGAGACAGAAGTACTGGTGAATAGGCAGCATCACTCGAATTTTCGGTCAGACTAATTTCTTTGGAAAGTAGAATTTCAGCATCGGCAGATAAAATTGAGCAACAACTCACTGAGCTGAAATTTGATATAAAATGAATTTAGCGCAAAGAAAATTGAAAAAAATCTTACATTAATAAACTAATGTGTGTCGAATAAATCACTTAAATAATATTCCATTAAAAGAAATACAGAAAAGTCAAATGATTTAGATGAGTTCGAGTGGTTCCTCAAACTACAATTAAAATTATAAAAATTAGGTTAGTTTGAATTGTTGAAAAATCTAAATGATTTAGTCTTTTGAAGTAAACGTTATATAATAAAATCAATGAGAAATCATTGAATCGTGCCAATAAACCGCATAATTTATTTTTGAATTTTTTTTCGTTTCTTCCCAAACTTATTTTTTTTCTATTTTTTCGCGCTCTAATAATATTTTTAATCTTTTTTTTCAAAAATTTTTCTTTTCAACAAAAAGAAAAAAAGGAGAAAATTTTTGATTAAAAAAAAAATAATTTTCTTCACATAAATTAATGAAATATTTCGCTTGTAAAATTTTCAATTCAAAAATTTTATCTTATTAGAAATTATTGAAAAAAAAATTTTTTCCTCGTCCTCTATGGCTATGATCATCCTCAATCTCTGATCATTTACCAGAAGCCTGGGAGAATGAGAATTCTGCATACTCTTCTGGATAGAGATCTCTGGTGTTGTTCCTGGAATCTGCTGAAGGAAGATAAAATTTATATATACAATTTATATATTTATTATTATTATATATATTTATATTTATATACATATGGAGGAAATCGCAATCCATGAAATCGCCAATGGTTGAATATAAATGATATTGATAAAGACTATTGATAAACTATTGGATCAGTGAGAACTTGATATATATAATGAAAAATATCGTTGCGGTTTAAACAACTTCAAATAGATATTAGTTTTAAAATATTAAATATTTAATATTACTTATTAGAATAATACCATAAAAATTTTATCAACCAATTATTAAATCAAAGGATTTGTTGCTAAATTTTTATTTGAAAAAAAACTAAGAATTAATTTAAAATCTTATTAAATAATAATTTATAAAAATTCTATTTTTTAATATTATTCTATATTTTTATATTTTTTTAATTCTATATTTTATATTTTTCTATATTTTTTAATTATATAATTAATGCCAATTTTATTTTATTTCAATTTTAATTCAACTAAATAAAACTTATATTAAACTTATAAACTTATTTAAGTATTTTCATAAATATTTTATATTCGCTAAATAAATTTTTTATAGCGATTAAAATTTTTTTTTTTTTTCAAATATAATGAATAAACAAATATGTATATGTATTTATCCCTAGGAAATGACACTAATCGTTGTCAAAGAGGGCGCAAAAAAAATTTTCAAAATGGGGCACAATAGTCGATCGCGAAAACTCTATACAATCCATGCACACTATTTTGCCGTTAATTTTAAAGAAAATCCCTCTTAAATTACGCTGTTCTTTTAATTTAACTAAACTGTCCAATCTATATAATTCATCAGGTTTTTATCGGTCGCCTTAACACCAAAATCCATCCATATCTCTTCCAGTAGTAGTTCAAGTGAAAAATAATCACATGTATCGCACAAATGGTCACAACATCGACTATGACTGACAACAATCGTCAATGAATGGATGAATGGTAAAGACAAAATGACGATTGACGGACGACGCTCATAGAAAATTCAAAATTCAGCAATAATAACGGTGATGACCGCCCTTTTTAACGTTATGCAAACAGTGTGTCCGAATACGGCGCATGCGATCGGTAGTTCAAGGAACATGTGCAATGTTCCATCTTCCATATTCTGCTACTTTCGTATTCGTATTTATTGTTTTACTTTTAGATTTTTTGGCTTTGACGACTTATGCTCAATTGCAAAATTACCAAACACCTGATAGACCTGTTCATTCATATTTCCCCGCTAGCGATAATCCTAAATCTAATCCATTGGCGATTTTTCAAAATAATATTCAGCATCCGCATTCTGCTAACAATCAGCCTTCAATATCTGCTAATGACATTAATTTATTGGATCAAAAATCTAAAATTCAAAAAAAAAATGAAGCAGGCGATGAAATTTCTTTAGCAAATAGGATTACAACGATTTCTGTGCTAAAGAGAAAAAATGACAGTTCGAAATTCATCCCATACAGCAAAGCTGATGGTTCTTTATATTTATCAAGGATAATGAAGTTTTTGCCAACTGGAATTGATAGAAGAAAGCGTTTACCAAATTTGAGGCATTCTACGCTTAGATCACCTGAATGGATCGATGGTAAAAGGTTTTCAACCGGCAGCCATCGAAAATTTATTAGCCAGGAAGATTATGATCGTCGAGTAGGAAAGCACGAAATTCCAAAATCAGCAAACTTATTTAATAGCAACAAAATAGCTCGTCTTCAATATTATGGTAATAATCCACTGTATCGTAGTCATAAAAAATTGAAACCTGATAATTTGAAGTCAAATAACTTAACAGAAAGCCTTTTCTCACGACCAGTTGATCAGTTGAAATCAAGTACCAATGCGACAAGGTCCTTGACGCAATCTACTCGTACAAATTCAACTAAAGGAAATTCGAGAGATGATCCATTTCATTTTTATCCATCAAAGGCCAAAAAATTTTCATCGCCTGAAGACTCGTTTCCAGCTACGAATAATGTTAATAATACTCTAAATACTCTAAACAAATCATCAAATTTGCTGCATGATGATAGAAAAAATGCCAAATATTTGCAAAACTCTGTTCGTCCTGCAAAAGTTCTCGGATTTATATCTCGTTACAATAATGCATTTCACGATGCTGCATCATTAGAGAAATCATCTAATCATGATAAGGGAGTAAGTTTTTACTTTCAAAATTTCAATTTGTTGGATTTGAAAAGGCTAATGTTTTCAGTTTCCAGCACATTCAAAATTTTCTTTGATGAAAGCTGATAAACTTATCAAATGATAATAACTTTCATTCTCTACAATGTACTCTATTCTTATTTGTTTCTAAAAAGTAGTTTCTTGGTCATCTTGGTTTAATTCTAATTTTCCAAAACAAAGACTAAAATAATAGAAATGAGATTGCTGAGAATTTTTATATTAGAGTTAAAAATCTCAAAACGAAGTTTAATTTAAGTTTTTTTTTCATAGACCTTAAACCTAATTACTCTGTAGCTTAGGCTTTTACTAATCCATTCATTTGCCCTACTTTTTGAATTTCTGAAAAAATTTTTTTAAAATCTCTTCTTATCATTCATTTTTCGATAGACTAAGTCGCATTGTTATTGAAATTTTCATGTCCTAAGGGCAAATAGATTGTAGATAAGATTACAAATAAGCGAAAAAACTTGAGATAAGTTCGAGCGATAATTTTCTCTCTAAATCGTAATTCAGGATCTAACTTTTTAGACATTTTTTGCCTAAATTTGTAATTCAAATTTGTAATTCAAATTTTTTATTTTGTATATTAAATCGTTATCCATTAATACACTAAAATAATTATAAAATGAGCGGTTATTCTTTAAAATTATTGTTTCATTGCAGGATTGGATGGATATTTTTAAAATTATAAGCTTAAGTTCACATCATCCGATTTAGTTTACTTAGAAATGCGAGCATTTGCCTGAGGCAAATATGGCTTTCCCTTTATTCTATGTAAAAATTTCGAAATTTAATTATAAAATTCTCTCATAGTTTTATAAAGTTTTATGTTTCAACTTCATCTGCTGTTGATATGTTTGAAGATTTGTCAAATTCAAATTTACTTATTTATTATTTTTACTATTGCAACCTTTATTTTAACATTATTAAGGAAATCCTATAATTTGATTTTTGTTATCATTAATTATATTTTGTCACTGCCTTGATTATCCAATCGACCCATATTTTGAAATTTAGGCATAGAATATAATGAACTATTTTAAAAACAGAAAAAAACCGAAAAGTTTTGGAATTTATATCAGGAGATGACAATTATAAATTTCTAATAAAATGTGATATTTGGTACCAAATTGACAAAGCCATTTTCCTTACGTCCTTGAGTTTAATTCATACATTTATTAAATTACAAATTAGCATAATTAACAAGAATTCCGTGTTTTAATTGTATTTTTTTTCTTTAGGGGTTGCAATATTACAATATATTTATCATTATCGTTATCACTGAAAACGAATATTGGTGAAGATGCACCGTAAGAGGAAATAATTATTTTAATTTAAGCTAAATATGAATTCAAACAAAATTTTTTTTATAATTTTTGCGTTTTTTTCGTGGCTTTCACTTACTTTTCATGATTCATGAAAATTGATAGTCGATTTTCTATTTATTTAGATGAGAAATTTAATTGAAACAATGATTTTCATGATTTTTTTTAATTTTTCAAGACAATGACAATTATTGTTTTGAGATTTATTATTATTATTTATTGTGATTAATATGTCAAAAATATTTATTGTTGTAAAGTTGTCGTTGAAATTTTAAAAAAAAAAGCGATAACATGATATTTATGACTTTCGATCATTTCAAAATTTCCCTTAAAAGATGATCCATGAAATAAATTTCTTTAAAACAAAAATTATGATTCTTTAAGATTCACAGAGCGGAGAAAAGAAACCTTATTTCAGGAAAAATGATTTATTAAATATTTATTTTTCGCAATAAATTTTAACATTAACATTGTGTTTATTATGATTTGCTTTTTTTTGCCAGTTTTCCGTGGCTTAAGTAATAAAATTTTCGCCGATCCAATAAATACTTTTCATTTTTCCGTAAATTTTTTTTAATAATCGGTGGAATTTTCATAATTCAATCATAATTAATTTAACAATTTGTCATTTTAATAATTTCTAATTGGCCTTTGTTTTTTCTTTTTATTTGCTTATTATTTGCCGTTGGATTTTAAATATTTATTGTGAAAAAGAATAATTTCGAACAAAAATACTCCATGTTGTTTGATTTATTAGCTTCCCTTTCCTCTTCTTATAGCATTTATGTTGTACGATTTGGTTGGCTATACGATCAAACTGTTAATTAGGGCTTAAATTTTAACATAGAAGGTTTATTTCAGAATCTCCAAGAGGTAGGGAACGAAAGCAGTGATAGTTTCATCTTAGTCGAAGCAGCTTATTTCCTATTCATATTGAGGAATAGCTAAAGTGAATGGATCTTTTTGCAAAGGGTTCACAAGGGAAAGGAAAGTGAAATGCTAACAAATTATAAGCTATTTGCTATTTTAAGCATTTGCTATTCGAAGTGGTGAATGTATTTGTTCGTTTTTGCAATTTTCCTTAATCTCTCCTACTTGTATATTTTATGAGATAATTAGGCTTTTCTCTCTATGGGAGTTTACTGAGTTCACGATAAAAGACTAAATTTGAAACTGTTAAGAAATACCATTATTGATTCCACTTGTAAAATATTTTTGCTGCTAAAATTTCCTAAATGATGATGATTTAATTACTAATTATTATTCATAAACATGACATAGCCACTTATAAATATATGAGCTTTGGTAATTTTAATAGTAAGGCCGTATTAGATTAAGGCTTTTATAACTACTTGTAAATAATGTAAAGAAAATTTTTTTTAGTTATTAATAATATTATTTTGCAATTATATCATTTCGTACCACTAGGTATATCAATTAGAATGCCTATGGACTGAAGTAGAATGGAACAATTTTAGGACCAATGTCATATTCCATAGTTTACTCATTATATATTAACTATTCAAATAGGTTACGATGATGCAATATTATTTTTTTTTCCTTTTAGGAATTATAATATTAATATTAATATTAATATTATATAATATAATAATAATATTATATATAGACTCAATCCATCGTTAACAATTTTTTTTTTTTTATCGTGCATTTATTATTCATTTTTATTTGTTTTTTACAATCATTTTATCTACTATCAATCAAATCAAAACATGATTTTATGCTTTACTTGGCAAATTCTCGCTACTTTGATATTTAGAGTTCCTGAATTCTTGTTTTCAATAATTTTTAAATTTTCTCAGAATAATAAACTAAAATATTTAATATCGATAATAGATAAGTAATTGTGGAATAAAGGTTGATAACAACGGGAATTCTATCTTAATATGGTCAATTAAAGATGTTTTGCGATAGTGAACAATTAAATTAGATTTGATGAACAATAAACTTTATTATATAAATTTTATTATATTTGTCTGTAGTGATAGACATCAAATTTTGATAATTTTGATAATTTTAATTGCTTTTGGCGTACATAATTTTATTATTCCTTATTACATCCAATATTTTTTATTCAACTTTTATACGGCTTACTGATCCTAATTTTTTTTCTTTTTCCAAGCGCCATTTTTATTCCATTAGCTATAGGCCGTCTCTATGACATCTCTAAACCTCTTAATTCGATTGTTTTTTGATCAGTTATCAATCTGATCATTTATAAAAATTTCTTAAAGTCCGAAAAATTCAAGGAAAATTTTTTGATAGCTTTCGTCATTTTATCATAACCAAAATCGACTGATTGATCAAATGATCACTTGGTTACACACTGAAATGATCGATTCGTTCTTTAATTTCTCTCAACGGTTGAATGGGATTTTTCTTCAATTGTCTCAAATAAAAATTTAGATATAAGTTTTGAAAATTTTTCTCGAATTTTTTTCCGTTACCATTATTCTTATTATTGCATTAGTAAATTATTCGTCAATTAGAGGAGATTTTAAAATAAATTGTAATTTGAAAATTAAAAAGGATAAGATTAGAAGGAATTTTTAGTGGAGGATATTCATTGTTTGTATTTAATTTCACTAAAAAATTTTCCAATTTAATCAAAAAGATCAGAATTCTACTTGTCTGATTATTTAGTAAAGTGGCCAGATTTATGAAAGATTTCGTTTCTTCTGACGCAATCGTTGCTAGAAAATAAATTATTCATTTATCTTTGTCAGTAAAGACTAATTAATTTTGATAATTTTTTTTTCCACACAATTTCTTACTGATTTGGCTGTTTTCCAATTGGTTACAAGTATCCTTCGGTGTTATGATGGCATTTTAATAATTCTATGCATATTTGTAAAGATTTTTTTAAAAATTTAGAAAAATGAGTATTTTCAGAATTTTTTGCAAAAAAAATTATTTTTATTTTTATTATTTTTTTGAGTTCCATTCTTGCAAAATACATTTTTCTCAATCTTTTAAGAATGCAATAAAAATATTTCATTGGTTTGCCATGTTAAATATGCGCCATTTCGATGATATTAAATTTAATAGAATCGAACGCATTCTTTTACTAATTTATTGAAACCAATCCTACAATTATTATTATTATTTAACAATTCACTTGAGATTCGCCCAAAATTTGCCATAAGAAATTCGTCTGATAAGCATTATATTTCTTTCAATTTGATTTTAATCGATTACAAGAAGAAAGAAGATTTTTCAATTTGAGAAAATTAGATGAAGAATAATTCAAATGACAAATAAAGAAGTTAACCATTTGATGAACGTCGATTCTTTAAAATTAATTTTGGATTTAAAGAATTTCTAAAAATTATTGGAAATATTTCTGTAATATTTCTATATTTCATTCGAGAAAATTGCATTTTAAATTTTTCCATAAAATTAATTTAAGAAAATATATAAAAAAGAAAAAATATATAATTTATCTTTTAATAATTTTGTAAAAATTATTATTATATTATATTATTATTATTATCAAGTAAAAAACAAAAATTTTTAAATTTATAATTTTAGAATTTATAAATAAATTTATAAATAAATAAATTTTAATAAATTTTAGCATTACATATTATAATTTTTTCAAGGATGATGTTGGCATCGATACTATAAATTTTAACAAATATTCGCCTCAGCGATCTGTTTATCAAAATATTAATGAAGATTCAAGAAACGTTAGATTGTTGATCGAGAACTGGCAACGAGCAAATACAAATATTTATGGCAAAAATTCATATAGTGAAATTCTCAACGATCGAAAGTCTTTGCAGAATTCAACGACGACTATAAATTGGATAAATCAACAAAAAGCTAAATTAAGGCGACATTATTTAAGTAAGCTCTTAGAAAAATTTTCAAGAACATCTCTTACTAGCTTATTTGTTCCAATATAATCTTTTTATTCGCGAAGTATTGGAAAAATTTGATTGTAAATTTTTGGAATGATTTTGGATAGTTTCGTAATGTTTTGGTACCCATATTCGAAATAAATTCAAAATGAATAAAATTTTTCTATACTTTTTCTTACATAAATAGTAATTATAATAATGATAATTAATAATAATAGTAATAAATAATTATTAATAATAATTATTATTATTACTAATATTAATATTAATATTATTATCAATAACTATTAATTATTAATAATAGTTAATAAATAATTATTAGTTTTTGGAACAGAAGTGCATCGGCGGCTCAATTAGTTGTCACCGAGGGTTAATGTTTGAGTTCGAGTCTGTCGAAGCCCCCACCACTGTCAAGAGACATTGCAATATAATGGAGAGAAAAGAAGGTAGATTGGCTAAGTAAAATGTTGCTCAGTTCGATACACTGATCGTCAAAATTTTATTTCGAGCAGAGTCCCTATACTTCTATCGCTAAGAAACTCCATGGTGCATTCTAATCAGTAATGGTTCCTAAAAAAAATTAGAATATTAGTCCTTTTCATCTATTCTCCTAAAATAAGCTATGCCGAATTTTATAATAACTGGGGTAGCTACTCCGTTATATGTTGATAACGCAGTAAGTTCATTTTAGGTCGATTGTATCCTGCTGTTCGTTTACAGTCGGGTCCATATGGAAGTTATCAGTTAGGAACAACCGAAACCGATCGTTATCTTGCTGATTCTCAGAATAACGCACCACAAATTCAATCAGACTTTAGAGAAAAAGCAGGAATAGCTGATGATCCCACATATATTCATACTTCACGAGGAGATGATCAACAATCTCATGTCGCAACAATACCTTCAAGTGAGCGAATAAATTATTGCGAAAATCATATTTAAGCTTAATTAGCGCTACAATTTTTATAAATAATTACTATAAATTAAAACAAATTGTCTTTTCAGATAACCATGAAAAACCGACGCCTCCCAATAATTCCAATGCAGGCTATCCTCCAGAACAATTTTTTCTCTCAGCTGAACAAAGAATGCCCTCAGCTGAACCAAAAGAACTAGATTTATCTATTTATGAAGGCCATCCTTCTCAGCAGGTTGCTTCTACTGTTGGTCAAGAGACGACTGAACTTTATTCAAGGCTAGCTCCAGAATACTATCAGTCTATGATCACAGAACAGCCGTGTTTAAAAAGCGAAATTGAACCGAACCAATTTCATGGTCCCATTGGGCCATCGCGGTTGCCAACGAGAAATTCATACGGTGATGTGGAAGCCAGTTATGGACTTGATCATACTAGCACTACCACTATAGAGACATTGACACCATGCATTAATCCAACTGTTTTGATGATCAAGGAAGGAGATGATTTTTATACATCAGTACAACCAAAAGCGTCTTCTATCCCTGTATCTAAAGCTTATCAATTGATAGATCAACCTTACCCTCCATCACCAAGCTCACCTGGTCAAAGAACTTTCACGTACGATCCAAACTTTGCTATCTCACAAAGTTTTCAACAAAGTTTTCAAGAGTACAAATCACCAGAGTATTTTCAATCGCCCTCGCCTCCACCTTTTTCATTTACTCCATCGTTTACCAAAAATTTACCAATGCAAGAGATGTACCAGCCGCTAGAGCCTCAACCTCCTTCTTCTTCACCACCACCTTCTCCACCCTCTCTATTTACCACATTCCCACCAACTTTTGAAGAGTATCAGTCACAGTCACCACAACTACCACTGCCACCATCACAACCACCTTTTATAATTACCACACCTCCACAGATCTTCGAAGAATATCAATCACAGCCTTTTCCACCATCACCTTCACCACCAGAATTACCTCCTATTTCTTTTACTGGAAAAACGGAAACTTCCATGCCATCTTTTTTCACTCAGCGATCGCTTACTACAGGGACTCAGACTTTTCCATTTTTAACGACAAGCGAGATGTACTCTTCAACTTCTGGAATAGTTGAAATAGCTTTTTCTTCAATTCCTCCTACAACGACATCTCCGATATTTTCGACTATTACACGAGAAATAGTCTCACCAAGCCGTCCTTTCACAGTGGAAGAAATTTCGACATTTATATCAACTGAAGAGACCAAAGAAAAACCCTTTCCGGTGACGACAATTCAACCATCATTTCCAAAATTCTTTACCACGTTAGTTATTCTTATTATGTATTCGACAACCCTATTTAATCCATTTATCTAAGCTTTTTTTCCAATTCAATTGATGAAGAAAAAATTAGTTATGAATCAAATTGGTGAAATAAATTAATTAGTAAATAGTAATTAATATCGGAAATTGGATAGTTTGCTCTAATATGATTTAAATTCTAAAATCACTTATTTTTCAGTCTGATTTGAATTTTTTCTTTTGCTTCTCTGAAATTTTTATCCACTTGCAAAAATTTATTTTAGTACAACTTATCCATCTTCACCAGCAATTCCTAGTGAAATTTTCACGCCACAACGTCCAATTCCTTCAATGAGAATTACGCCAGCAATCGTTCCAAATCGAATTCGAGGTTTCAACTTTCGATAAATTTTATATATCCTTTTTTTTCTTTTTATTTTTTACATTCTAAAATATTAAAAATATTAATATTAAAAATATTATTAAATGAATTTTATCGACTTTTATCGAAATATTCATTTTTTCGAGAGTTTTGATCTTATTTTTGGCCAATTTTATTTTCTCTCCTAATGGTCAGATTTTGAGAATCAATCGAAGTTTCTCAAATATATGTGAAAAAATTAACTTATTGGCTCAGTCAACAAATTTTTCTCATAAATGGGATAAATAGGATGTTTGTGCCTATTCTTTTGAGCTATCATTATTTTTGGTATTAAGTGATAAGTTATTTTTATTTTTAGGTAAAGCACTTGTCGTTTGTGGTGAAGATGGAATCAGCTTTCGTATTATAACATTGTTTCCATTCACCGGACAAATTTTCTCGCAAGACCATAAAAGAATTCCAAGGTAAAAATTTTATAGATAAATTTTTTTTTTAATATCTTTAAAAAAATCTTAGTAGAATAATACTAATATTGTACTAATCCACTTATTTGCATTCTTCAGTTGTGTTTATACTTTTACCGAAGCAACAATTGTTAATGTAACATTGCCATATGCTGAATGTGGAGTTAGAAATCCAGGTAAATCTTCTCGTTACGAATTTTAAGAATTCGTAAGATTCATATAAAATTTCATGAATAATTTAATGATGAAATTTCTAAGATCGGCGTAAAATTCTTGCAAATTAGAAAAAATCTCGTCCAGCACTTCCAATGATTCAATTACGTTTAAATTCAGATTTTTTTTTTTTGCTTTAATTCATTTTACGATTGAAGAAAAAGGAAAAAGAAATTTTATAGGTAATCAACCTGTAGAAACACAATATCACATGCAGATTATCGTTTTGTTTGAACAAAAAGATGGTACCACAACAATGCAATCATTTATTGCTCAGTGTTTGCAGCAGAAAGTCAAATATCAAAAACAAATTATACCAAAAAGGATTGAAGAAGCTTTAGAAGAGTATTAATTAATTTATTTACAATTCATGTGGGCATAATTCTTTTGATTTTTTAATTTTATAGAAAAACCATGTAAATTGGTTGATTATTTCAATTTGCAGCGCGTAAATAAGCGCTGAGATTTAGGAATGCTTATGATGATCAAACAATGAAAATTAATTTCAACTAGTTTAAAGACTTCAACTAGTCCCAACGAAGCTCGAGCAAAAAGCTCCAATTCCTGACTGTATAATGCGGATCGTTAAAGAAGAAGATCATGGACACGGCGATGATGGTTTAGAAGTTAGTGTGGTTGATATCGGTCAACCGATGCGAATCGAGTGGAGCTTGTTACCTGAATCAGGTGACCGGAAATTTTCATTTTAACATCTTTGAAAACCATCATTTCTTCCTTGTCTCTATATATATTTTTTTATTCTATTGATTGGATCTATCTTAGATAAGTTTCTTAAAATTTTCAAATTGGGGCCACTGATAATTTACTTATTCACTTTTCGCTTTATTAACTATGTCCAATTAACTCAATTCAACTTTCCGCATTTGTCTTGAACTTTATGTAACTTTTATTCACTATATATTTAATTTCTAGGATGAAGTGGAGAGGGGAGGGGGTGAGGAGGACAGATTTTATTTTTTTTTTTAAATAAAAGAAAACCGGTTTATCTATTTTCATTCATTATTTCATTGTACCGGATATGGATCCAGTATTTTGGGGAGAGGGAATTCTGAAGCAGGGTGGCCTTTTTCACTTGTAAAACGTTTTCCTATGAAAACTTATTAAAACACATTATCAATATAACTGTTAAGAAAGAATATCAATAAGAAGCTGAAATACTACTGAATGGCGATTCTTGTTGAATTCTTGTTATAATAGAATTTTCCAAAAAAAATATGAAATTTGAAACATGAAATTGGACATTTTTTAATAAATTCCTTAAGGCTTTTTAATATTTGTGGAATATTTCTCATTTTTATAAGTCTATTATTACTTTAAATGGATTAAAGTTGAAAAATTATTGAAGAGAATTCTTTTTTGTTAAACTGATTATGAAATGAATTGAACGAATGTAATAATTGTCCACTGGCTCAGTGGATTGTTGCTCTAATTTCATAGCGCCGATTTTCGGATTTTAATGCCGGTAAGAGCAAACCTGTCTTTCGAAATTCCGGCTAGTGTTGACGATTCACCTTTCACCAAGCGATTCCTTAGCAAATTTCTCGTCTAACAAAGCCAGTGGAGCAAAGCTCGTAAAAAAAAAGGAAAAAAAAAACGAATGTCATTCTATTATTTTCATGTTGATATGTGACATTTAATGTGAACGCTATTAGTTTTATTTCTAATTAAATTTATTTCTGAACAAATCAATTAGATTAACGATTTATATTTTTCTTGCGAAAAATTTTCCTAGTTTCTTTTATTTATTCAAGGCTTTTAAGGCTTAAAATTATTTTTAAAATTTACAATTGGAATTTTAAAAAATTGATTCGGATTTATTTTAAATTATTGGAAATGATCTTATTGTAAATTAGTTGTTGAGGTTTCATTCCTCCTGAAAAATGAATGAATCCTGAATGAAAGCCAGAAAAACACCAGAAGCTCATTAAAATATGTACTAATATCCAACAAACACTAATTTCACCTGCCAACTTCATGCGATAATTCATGAAAAATAACTGCCAGGCTAGTGGAGACTCCAAGAATAAATGACATAGCATGAAGCTTGCACCAACTTGCACCACTGCAATTCCATCAATAAAATTGCGAAGTGCATCAAAGATCGCCTATGATTAAAACTTGTTGAAATTTTTAGATGCCTACGGATTTCACGTTCGAAATTGTACCGTACGTGACCTGGTGAGTGGAGAAGAACATTTAGTGATCGATGAAAGAGGGTAGGTGTAATTTAATAAAATTTTGGTTAGAAGAATTATATTTCTAAGAACTGTGGAAAATTTTAACTGATTTTTGGAGGAGTAATTTTTTTTTTTAATTTCGGTCGGAGATATAAAGAAATATCTTTTCTAAAGATCAAATGAAGATATATCTTTTGAACAATAAACATTGCAATTTTGAAGAATTTTCTCCATGAGATTAAAGGAAAACCGAATTCTAAGGAATTATCAAGTAATGAGAAATGTGTTTCGTTAATTTGGATTGCAGCAACTTGTTGAGCAAACCTGTTTCTAAGAACAAAGAACCGGCTGGTGTTTGAGGATCCATCCGCACTCCTAACTTTGGCATGACCTCCTGATTTCGCCCATATTCTTTTTAATTGAACCTGTTGCAACCTGAAATTGTACCATAGTTCCAACATTATATGCATCTTTCCATGATTTTTACTATCATTTTTTACTATCATTTTACTCATTTTATTTTATTTTTAGTTGTTCAACTGATATCAACATATTCAGTCATCCACATTATGATACTTATCACGATATAGCTCGTGTACATTGGCATGCATTTAAAGTACCTGATAATAACCAACTAAGTATCAAATGTTCATTTCAAATATGCTCAGATATTGTTGATTCTAAATCTGGACTTACAAACTGCGATAACATACCAACGGTAGTTTCAATTTATATTAATATCATTATCATTCCCATTAATCATTATCAGCATTTCTATTTCTTTATGTATGAAAAAAAAAGTCGACCGAGAAGGGATTAATTTGTTTATCGGAGAATAGACAGTCGACGATAATTTACAGCAAAAAAAGTCCATTGACCATTATTTTTAATACAGTAAAAATTCACTTAAATTTAATCAAAAATTCGTTATTTCAATAAACAAATAAAAAAAATAGATATTCGATTTAAAACGAGTCTCCTCAAGATATTAAAGAAGAAAGTAAGTCGCTCACTATTTCCGATTAGCCTGGCTCTGCCTAGCTCTATTGACTATTGTGCGAGACGAGTTAACGAGATGTGAAAGAAATATATAGTGGATACCAGCGTCATCCAGATTTTTTGATAATAGGTTTATATTAGTTCAGTATGATAGTCTGAACAATAATCACTAGTGGGCTAACCAGCAAACTATGTGATTTGTTGGCTTGCTTCTTATCAAAAAATGGGTATTTAGAGCATCATTAAAATTATCTAAATAAATAGCTAGGGAAATGATCTTTTGCTGGTTTTTTCATAATTTTTATTTAAAAAATATATAATTGAAAATTTGCGACATTTATTATTTTAATAATGGACCAATTTATGGCACAATAAATTGCAAGTGATTAGTGATGATAAAAGTTATCAGCGAATATATGACCTTTTATATGACCTGCTGAATTCATATGCTATTTTATATATTTTGCATAACATTGCCATCTATCATATTGCATGGCCGATTTTCAAATGGTGCAAAATTATACGTTCTTTTCGAAAGGAAAATGTGCCAATAGGCCTATTATTATAGTATAAATGTAAAATCTCCACTTTTTTCTCTTTTTTGCAAGAAATTTTGTAAGATTCGCTATCTCTCCCTACTTTTTTTTTCTAAGCAACGCTTAATTGAAATTTTTCAGCCACCGTTTTGTCCTGACTTGATCACTTCACCATCGAATTCGATTTTATTCGATTTAGAAGGTCATATAAGCGAGATTCGTGGTCCACATAGTGTTGTTCGGCGACACGTTCATGCAGATATATGTTTTGGCGGACCGCAAGATGCATATTGTAGCTCTGAAGATTATCGTAATGAGCGAAGCGAATATTGGAGGAAAGTTACTAGTATGATTTTCATTTGATGAAAAACAATTCGAGAAGTACATGAATTTTAGAGTTCCTGAAAATTATCATTTTTTTCTTGATCATTTCAATCACAAGAAAATAAAATTTACACATCTTTAGCAAATACATCAGAGCGGATTTGTATTTCGCGGATATGGATGAGTGTGTGCACGGGTTTATCTGCGTGGACGGCTCTATTAGCAATCGGTATTCACGGGTATTGCCGGTTAAGGCGAAAACGACAACTGAAACGCATTAGTTCGCTTTCATATGGGCAAAAAATGGTGCAAACACCGATGGAAATGGTTCATATTAGGAGGAATAAATAATTGGTAATTTAATGTAGATTAATTAATCAATTAGCAGCAGTTATTATTATTATTTTTATAATTAACTGTGTAAGCTTTATTGAATCGATTAGATAAATTATGATTTAAAGTGATACAAATAATATTTATTAATTGGAAAATTCAGGATTTTGAAAGAAACTTTGGAGCAAATTCATTAAATTCCTTTTCTAGCGGTTCCTTTCGAAATTCTCTTCTCTTTTTTTTTAAAAAAAAAAAGCTTTCACCTTTATTGGTTAGTTTCGCTGGTTAGAAGAGTTCCAAGTTGTTCGATCCGATGCCATCTTCGAAATTCTCTAATAGCTTTATTTTAATAAAATTATTGAAACGATATTCTATAAAATGCAATTCTTATATGAAAATTTAACAGTGCCATTTCTGGTTTGGCTAATTCCACTCTTTTCATTTCACTCGGAATTTGTTTAATTTAGTTTCATCAAATAAGATAAATTTTATCACTTGGTGATAGAAGTGCGAAATGAATTGTTAAGCATCAGCTATCAGATTTTTTGGAAGAGAGGTTTACTTCTATAGAAAATGAACTATCTCAAATGAATTAGCTACCTATTGAGCCATTTCTATTCGCTGCTAAGTTTGTATCGCTTTATTTCAACTTATTTTTATATTTTTAAATATTTTTATATTTATGTTTATTTGTTCTCATTTGTTTTTTATTGTTTATTTCGTTCTTTCATTCTGTTTTTTCTGTTTTCGATTTTTTTTTGTCGATTCTTGTTTTTCTCCAACGTTTAATTTCTTTCATATTTCTATTTCTATTATAAAAATATTGTTTTATTTTTACTCTATAAAATCCTATTCAGTTGATTTAGTTTCAAAATTAATCATTTATTTAGGCGAACATAAACATATTTTTATAATTTTTATATTCATTTTTATTCAGCTCATCGCTGTGCTCTAAAATTTTTGCTCAGTTTATCGAGCAAATGCCAGATAGATAAATTTTTTTTTCATTCTTTTTTTTTTTTGTTTCTACAAAGAATGTATTTATTCATACATAAATATAATTAATCCATGTAAAAAAAAAATCACACAAGGCATCGTCTAGTTGATTTTTTCATAAATATAAATTATAGCTGTATAGCCGAATAAATGATTTCAAATAGAATGGTACCATTATTTATTAGAGGAATAATAGGGGACCCAATGGTTTCTTTCCCTTCAAATAACCTCGTGTGATCGAAATATTGTGGTGCTATTTTGTTTTTTTTTTGCTATATATATCTATTCTTTGTATTTATCAATTGAAATTGGTTGCAATAACGATTGTGCAATATGTAAAGCTCAATAAGTTCGGTTTTTTTTTTTTTTTTGTTGATGGTCTCTTCATTATATAAATATTATAAATTATATGAATATTTTTTACAAATGTTATAAATTAAATTAAAATTTAACGAATTTATAGCAATTTTTTTTCCAATTTCCACGATTCTTTTATCAAACGATTCTTTTTAGCATTTAGCAAAAAATGCTATTCGAAAATTTCATATTTAGGCGTTTTAATTGAGGCCTTAATTCTGCTGATTTGGTTTATCATATAAAAATTTTCGAATGATAAATGATATAAAGTAATTTTTGGGAAGAAAAGAAATAATTTTGCTATGCCTATGCTTAATGATTTTCGCCGAAATTTTCTTCTGTAAAAAATCATTGATACAATGGCGAAAAACTTTATGAGCTATGCAAATGGTTAGTATTAAATATTTATCATTTTTGGTTAGACTCCATCTAATTGTACGATGAAAGAATTTCGTGAAGAGATTATTCGGGGGGAACAAAAATAGAGACTATAAATAGAAATATAACTAAGGCCTAAAATTATTAAAAAGAAACGATCAAACCAAAATATTCGGTTGGAATTGCAATTTAAATATTAAAAAAAAGATCTAAGTCACTCGCGCTATATTTCCTCGAGCTAAATAGCTATGCTTATAATTATTCAAATTTCTTCGAATTGTTATAATTTCAAAGAAAAGCTTAATTTTTTTTCCGATAATTTTTATGGTATTTTTTCGCTATTTTAATAATAATGGAGACTTTTTTAATTTCAAAAATTAAACTAATCGAGAAACACAACGAAATCTCTTTAAAAAAATCTCTCAAAATAAATTTGCAGTAATGAAAAGTTGCAGTAATAATTTCCTAATTAAAAATTTTTATTTTATGAAAAATTGAATCATTTCGATTTTATTTAAAAAAGATTTATTTATTATTTACTAAGATCTATTTATTATTTATTATTTTACTTAAAGTCTTCAAGAATGATGATTCCATATTTTAAAAAAAATCCGTTCAATAAAAGGTTAAAAGCATTTTAAAAACTGGATCGAGAAATATTTTGGATAATGTGGTTTTGAACGAATACTTTCGTTCAAAACCAGTTCATGGAAACAATGGACATTGAAATAATATTCGTCCTGAATGCGGAAGGAAGGATCTTTCGTTAAAAAAAAAAGTATTTAGGGACATTTTTGCGTTTTATTTCTGAATATTATCAGGAATTAATGAAAATTATTACTGATAAGGAATGGAGGGATAACTTTATAAATTTTTACTTGAAGACTGAATTTTTTATTAAAATTTCCTATACGCTTTTCATCGGAAAAATTGAAAAATATTACTTTATTTCCACTGGTAATCATAAATTTCCAGAAAATCGACCAATTGTTATTTTATAAATTTTAAAAATTGAAATTTTCTATCCAATGGTCGGTCAATAGAGTCAATAACGTTAACAATCTATTGGTTTCTTTTTTATGCCAATATTTTTATTCAATTACACCAAAATAAGAAAACCTTTCAGTTCATTCGTTTTGTTGTTAGTAAACCGATTATCTATTATTATACCGTATTTTCAAAGTTAATCGAAGTATTTAAAATAGAAAAATAGAAAATAGAAATATTATGTTGACTTGAGGCAATATTAACAGAATTAATGATTTGTGAGATGCCAAGTTGTATTAAAAACTTGTTTAAACGATTAAAATTACGGTGAAATTTCTGTCAGCGAAAATTCATGAAAAAAAAAAGAATCGGATTCACGGTAAAAAATAAATAGGATAGGGAAGAATTTGATATTTAGAAACCGATAAATGGCAATGGATTAATAAAATTGACCAAGAAAAATGAAAAACTGAGAACGAAAGTGATCATGAAAAGAATAATTAAAATATTTTTTTTCCATCTTTTTTATCAAAACGTTTCATTTTTCTCCTTCTGAAAAAATTTTAAAAAATTTTAAAATGATTTATCAATTATATAAACGTTATCATATAAGACGTTGTCATATTATGGACCATTTCCATCATCCCTATTATATTTTCAATTATACGATTGATTCATTTATGGATATAGCTCGCCGGCACCCAAAAGTTAAATATAATATTGGCCTTTTCGCGGATAATTATTGATAATTATTATGGATAGTTATGGAGATATTGAAGCGGTTATCGTTAGTTGCAGCGACAATTGATTTTCAGTAAAAATGCTTTTCTCTTTATGCACCAGCGGCTGTTATAACCGCATTTTTCTGTAAATTCTTCTTTGATTCCAGATGCTTCGATATTTATATATCTCGTATCCACTTTTATAGTTAACCAGATGAAAAATAAAATACATGTGGTGAAACTCTTAAAAATGCCATCACAGGTACCGCTAGGTTAGAAATAACATGCAGATTAAGATAAAAGCCGTTTGACAAATTAACCATTCAAGATCAATACATTCTATTATATAACATAACTGTACGTATAGATATATAGAAATAAGTCCATTTAGTGTATTTTTATTATATTATTGATATTTATTAATTCGAGTTGCATTATTATAAATTAACGTAATGAACAATAAAAAGAATTTTTTTTAAAAAATGCAACCTTGCAAATGGAACAAAAGTGCTGCTTAACGCTGCTCCAATAAACTAAGAAAATATTCTGGAATAAATCCTAGCAAATAAGATCGTTGCGAATGTCAGAAGTATTTCTAACATTAAAAATGAAATATGAGTGATGCTAGGCACGAAATTCTATCTCAAATCCTCAAATTGAAGTATGAAAAAAAACTTGCGAATTAATTATTAGTTCAGATGTCGAATTTTAGAATTCTTAGATGAGGTAAAAATTAGGTTAAAAACCCCTTAATAGTGAGAATTTAAACCATTATTTTTAATTTTAAAAGTGAAATCCGTGTGACCGAACTTTACTTCCATCCTCAAATAATTCTATAAATAAACTCATAATTGGCTTATTCGAATATTAATCAACCAAAAACATTTCAGGCATATGATTCATTAATAAAAATATAATTTTTATAAAATACAATTTTTACATTTTAACAAATCCAACAAAACGATTTTTTGGCCAACGCCTTATACAATACTTTCTTCCTTCATTAAAAATTACCAATGCTAAGCCAAATAAGAGACCAAAAATCCAAACCTAAAAAATCAAATATTTATTTTATTTCATTATTTCATTTCATTTCTGATTTTATTTCATTTATAAATTTTTTTAGATAAATTTTTTAAAGAAGCGTGAAAATTTTAGAAAAATCTATTAATTTAATGAATAAAATGTTTCGCATAAATAAATAAGCATGCGATATTCAAATGAATCGATTTCTTACATGATTCGGCGGTGATTCTACTTGTAAGATGTACTGAGATGCTGGAGTATAGATAAACAAATTAAGTAATAAAATTTCGATAATAACTGCAAAAACGGACACTAAATTCGTTATACCATGGACGAATATTGAGACACGACGTGTGCTACACATATATAAATGAAACACCTAAAAATTTAAAACGATTTGTCAAATATCAATCGAAAAACGATAATTAAATTCTTATTTTTATAAAATTTTCTATAATTTGAATAAAATAGTTGTATTTTTATTAGAAGATAAATCTACGAATATATATATATATACTTGAGAAAGAACGAGTGTAATTTGCCATGCAGCTGCTGCTTGTCTTTTAATGCTCAACTGTTGAATTCCCGTTATTGTTTCATTTGCTATCGTCGTGAAATTTTGAGCGTCAGCATTCCAGTAATGTTCAGCTGTGAAAAATAAATCACCGAGACGTAAGTTGTAATAGCTGCAAAAAAAAAAAGCTTAAAGCCAATATTTGAATAAAAATATAACAACGATAAAATAAACCATTCTAAATTTAGAATAACGAAATTGTGCTTTAAAAAAGCACAACTAATGAGAGCCAAAAAAATATCTTAAATTGACATATTATTATTCAATAATTACACAAATATACTTACAAATATACGGATAAATATGCAAGAATGCAGCCAAAAGTAATGATTGATCCAGCGAAAATGTACGAATAAATGAGTAGCGATCGAGAAACTAAACGATCATTTCGATTACGAGGAGGTATTTTCATAATATCACGCTCTGGCGATTCGTATGCTAAAGATATAGCTGGCGGCAATTCGCTTGCAATATCGATACTTAAAATCTGCAAAAAAAACTGGTATGAAAAAGAAATTGCTAAATTTTTGTAAAGAAATATAAATATATAAAAATCTTCTGTTTCAACCAGCATAAACAATAACTGCGCAAATAGATACTAAAATTCTAAGCTTTTAAGCCCAGAGGGAGAGGTGTGGGAGGAGGGGGGAGGAGGGGGTTTCACTGAAGTGAAACTAGAAATGTTAAGAAGTATAGCTTTCTCAAATCACACAGATAGGTTCGCCTTTTTAGCTATCTCCATTGAATATTTATATTTATATTTATAATATTCGATATTTATATTTATAATTTATATTTATAATATTCGATATCGTAAAAATAATCAATCAAAAACATTCATCGAATAATTCAATTTAAATAAAAAAAATATTAAAAATTAATTAAATATTAAAATATTAAAAATAAAAATATAACAACCAAAAAATTAAAATAATAAAACTAAAAAAAATAAAAAATAAAATAACAAAAGATTAAAAAAATAAAAGACTGTATTATTTGAAGGCGAATAAGAAATTATTCGATGATTGTTGTTGATAATTTAAGAAGAAACAATACCTGTAAAGGTGAAAGTCCTAACGGTAAGCCTAAAACGAATTGAAGAACAACGGGAAATATTTCTGGCCATATATGAGCTAACGTATAAGCAATAGAAAGGCGAAGATTATCGAATAATAGTCGACCTTCTTCGAAACCTTTTACAATTGAAGCGAAATTATCATCCGTAAGAATAATATCAGCGGCCTGTTTAGCAATATCACAGCCTATAAATAACCGAAATTATTTTAAAATTATATTGAGAAAATCAACCAAATGAGCCAACTAGAAAGAGAAAATTATTTTAATAAAGAAATCTTAATGCATAAAAAATTTATGAAAATTTATGAAAATTCGCGAAATGATTTTATCAAATACTTGATAAGGAAATACAATTAAAAAATAATTCACCTGTAATGCCCATAGCGATACCAACATTTGCATTAGCCAATGCCGGAACATCGTTTACACCACCACCCGTAACAGCCACTATTTCGCCTCTTTTTTGGCACTCTTCAACGATTTGCAATTTTTGATCTGGAGTTGTCCTATAGCAAAATTTTTATATCAACTACCGTTGTGTAATAATAATTCATTTGATTCAATTCGATCAATTTTTATTTGCGCTATTCTATTAAATCTTCCAATTTCTATATATTTATATATTTATTATTAAATATATTTTATTTTATTATATATTTTTTATGTATTTTTAATACACATATATATATATATTAATATTTTATGTATATGTTTATTTTATATATATATATATATATATTTGATATATATTTTTAATACTATTGATTATTTGGATACATTAATCCATTTAGATATGGATTTAAATGATGGAAGAAGGAATGGCTTCTATTATTATCAGCAATGGCATCAGATCAAGCAGCATGGAAACGTCTAACCCTTGTAGTTAGTGGAACCAGTCTAACCAGTAATAATGAGAGAGCTGTTAGAAAAATAAAGAACATTTATTCACCGTTATAATTTAAAAGATTAGATTTTTGCTAACAATTTGTCTTCATTTTTTTCTAAGTGTTTTTTCGATTAAAAAAGATTGTCTTATGAGAATATTCAGGTTATCGTGTTTAAAAAACGATGTAGTTTTCCATTTATTCTTTATCAACTAGTAATTTTGATGAAATAAAAAACAAAAAAATAAAGAAAAAAATGGAAATAAAATAAAACCTTGCAAAAACTATATATTTGTGTTTGAGAAGTTCAGTCCATTCTTCATCGGTTTTTGTGGATAATTCTGAACCATTAACAACTGCCCAATTTACGTCATTTTCTTCGGCTAAATTTGATTGAACTGTATTAGCATTTTTTGTTATTTCAGCCTTTGCTGCCTGAAAAATTTTTGTATTTTGAAAAAATTTTGACAGCTTTTTTTTAAATGAGTGGCATTTTAAGAATGCCCAAAATAATTTGTATACCTACCGCTTTGTTAGACAAACCGATTAAGCCGATTTGGCGAGCGATAGCGATTGCGGTTGTTGCGTGATCACCTATAAAATAATTAATATTTTTAAAAGAAAAACTATGGTACTTCTATAAAATTATTATTAAATAATAGAATTTCTAATTAAAATGAGAATTTCTGGAAATTTATTTGCTAATTTAATTCTGATATGAAATTTATAAGTAATATTGTGGCAATTAAATTAAAATAATTTATTAAAACAATTAGAATAAAACTCTTCGAAATTCATCATTGCAACTTGCTTTAGATAGTTTAATTTTTACTTCTTCGTATTCTGATTTTACAAAATAATAACTGAAAATTTCGAGTAAAATTACCTGTTATCATAAAAACTTTAATGCCAGCTTCCTTACATTGCATTATTGCTGGTGCAGCGTCCGTCCTGAAATAAAAATTAGAAGTTTAGTTTATGGTCGAATGAACAATTTCGTCATTTATACGATATACGATGATTCTTTAAAATTGTTTATTATAATATTTTTTTTTTATGAAAAAAGAATATTCTAGTAATCAAAAAATTGTTCACCAGAATGAAATGCATGAATCTCATTTAGTCTATTGAATTGTACTCAACTGATTTTAGTGAATATACCTAGGAGGATCCATAATTGCTGCCATTCCAAGAAATATTAGACCTTCTTCGAAATCTTCATTAAACGATGTATAATTAATATTCGAATCAGCAACAAAATTTTTAATACCGAAAGCTATGACTCGCCTTCCTCCATTTCCATAATGCTCCCAAGCTGCCTCAATTTAATTCTTTAGAACAAAAAAAAAAAAAAATTGAAAAAATAAAATAATAAAATAAAAATAGTTTTTTAAGGCTTTTAAATCATTAGGCTCACCTCGCATTCGCTTATAAGATCTTCGCTGATTTTTACGATATCATCGTTAATGCGAGCCAGCGAACATTTATTTAGTATAACCTCTGGTGCGCCTTTTATCATAACACAAAATTTTGCATTATTTGAACCAGCGAATTCGATATTTGTTTGACTGTTGCAAGCTGAACCATCGCCTAAACAACGAGCAACAACTAACTGATAACGACGAACTGAATTGAATGGCATTTCGAAAACAATCTGAAAGATCTCAAGAAAGAAGAGAGAAATGATGAAATTCATTTCATCAACGATAATATATAAAATAAAACCTATAATTATAGATTTTACTCATATAATTATAAACAAAAAATAAAATAATATTTTATTTTATTGAATTTTAATATTTTAGAACTTTAGGATAAAAAATTTCTTTCAATTTCTTACGTTATATCTTAATCTAATTCCTTCAACGGATGCATTCATTTCAACGTAACGTAAAAGTGCCACATCTGAAGGCATTCCAAAAATTTCTCCACGTCGATCCAAATTTTTCACCTAAAAAATGCACTACTAATATGTTCAATATTTGGGAAATAAAGAAGATATCCACAAAATTACATCGTCAGAATCCGAAGTCAGAGTATTCTTTTCCATTAATTCATTATGGCGATTCATTGCATTTGCCTCTTGTCCTGTCATTGTGTCTCTCAAATTGGTTGTAGATTAGCGAAAAAAAGATTTTAAAAAATCCCTTAAATCCCTTAATCTGGAAATTTTTCATATATTCTAATATTTTCGAGCAAACATTGGTACTTACATAACAGTGAAAATTTTTGATGCAGAATGTACGGGTTGTTGTTTGGATTGTTTTAACGTTCGTTCAGTCCATACTCGACGTAGTGATTTGTGGACTCGCTCAAATTGTCCTCGATTACAGACGCTCATCACGGTTAGTATGTCTGGTAAAGGTTGCTCGAATTGACTGCAACTGGCTTTTCGTTGTCGTAAGCATAATCCGGAGTAAGCTATATCATAATGACCTAAAAAATCGACAAGCTTTATTCAATTCATATTGATAACGAATTCAGATTGAAAATAAAATTTTTAGAAATAAAAAATTTTTTTGTACTAGGCTATAAAATATTATGAAAATTTTAATGAAAATTATACCAGCATGATGCCTTCTATTGTACCAAAGATCTGTTACGACCATAGAGTTTTGAGTTAAACTCCCAGTTTTATCAGTTGCGACAACAGTCGTTGCTCCAAGTTCGTCAATGACGTCCAGTTTTTTGATATAAACACCTTTTTTCGCTAAGCGACGAGCAATTATTGCCAATTGCGACATAACTGTTGCTGGCAATCCTTGTGGAACGTTGGCAACAATAATTATTACAAAACCAATAATGAAATGATCCAGAACATTTTCAAATCTGGAAAAAAAAACTCATCAAAATGAGGAAAAGAAACGAAATATTATGAAATCTTCTGTCTATGAAGTGATCCCGAAGTGGTATTGGTTACTTCACACGTTATCCGCTTTCTAAGCCTTTTAAATAGATTGATGTGACTGAAGGAAAGGTTGGATGGGTAAAAATGGAAGGAAGGTAAAATTATGAGGCAAGGAATCGGCTGGGGAATTTTTGTATTTGCATTATTATTGTGAGGATCATAAAATAATTATGTGATTATCAGTTTACGGCGCAATATAATAATTTAATTATCCAAGTTTGACGTTGCGTCATAACTGTGGTGTTATGAGATATTGTTTCTATTACTGTTAATAAGAAAAGTTATAGGCGCAGAATAAAAGTTACTTATGGACGAGCTTGTAGACAATTTGTAGAAGCAATAAAATCACCAAAAATTTTCACTCGATTATTTATAATAGCTCAGTTATTTAAATATTTCTATTCATATCTAACCGAATGCATCTTTTAAAAAAATTAAATTCGAAATTAAATCATACCGAGTAACAAAGCATCCAACCAAAAAAACCAAGCTAGCCATACATAAAGCTAACACAGAAACGAAATGTACAAATTGGTTGATTTCAATTTGAAACGTACTTTGAGTGGTACTAACATGTCGTTGCACATCAACTATACCACCCAGAACCTAGTAAATAGTTAAATTCATTTCTGAATTGCAAATATTGATTTATTTTTCCTTACCTTTGGAATTTAGAACTTCGAATTCGAATCTCAGTATCTTTCCTAATCAATGGTACTGTTCCAAAGTAGCATATGGAACTTGTATTCATCACTTTGTTAATCTACTATCACTGTTCCGAAATAATGAACTATTTCAAAAAGCAGATGTTTCATTCTTATTTTTGAAGGATATATATATTTTTTTAAGAATTCTCATCATTACTGGTTAAACTCGTTCCACTGACTTATCGCATTGGGCAATATGCCAGGGAGTCCTTTGGCGATAGAAATACAGGTGAGTCGCCAGCATCATCCTGATTTTTGGACAATTTTAGTCCTGCGGGAGCGGGAGTAGAATCTCAGCATCGGCGCTCCAAACTAAGCAACAACCCACTGAGCAATTCTATCCTCATTCTTTTTTTGAAGGATATATAATAAGTTAATTTGCTTTATGTTTTCTCAATGTTATTTTTTTGTAACGATTTATTAAATATTAGTTAAATATTAATGAAAATAATTTGGAAATATTTTATAAATACAGAAGTACCGTATATTTCCCACTTCGAATAACCACTCCGAAACCGTTTCCTTCAATACAAAATGATCCTTTAAGTGCAATATTTCGTGCATCGAATACAGATAAATGTGATGCAGCTGCTTCATGAGTATAATCAACTGGTTCAGTTGCACCTGAATTTGTTTAAAAAATTTATATTTTTAGGATATTTTTTTGGTAGAGTAAAATGGCTTAATGGATTGTTGCTTAATTCAGAACGCCGATACCGAGGTTCAGTCCCCGCGAAGTTATCCAAAAATATAGGTTATGCTAACGACACATCTATACTTTTGTCACCAAGGGATTCCCTGGCATATCATATTTTCCAGCATGTGAAACCAGTGAAGCTAGGTTAATCAATGATGGCAATGGCTCTTTGAAAAAAATTTATTTTTTAGAATTAAATTTAATTTTAAAAAAATTTTATTACCAGTAATAGCTGATATTTCAAGCTTAAGTCCATTTGATTTAAGAATTCGGAGATCAGCTGGTATTCTTGCACCTTCAGAAATAACTACAATATCGCCCACAACAACTTCTTCAAGTTTCACTAAGCGTTCAGTGCAATCACGAACCACAAGACATGATTGTGGTAGTAATGTTTGAAAATTGCTTGCTACCTGTATTATTCCATATTTTTCAAATAATTAATAAATAATAATAAAATAAAAATAAATAAATAAACAATAAAAAAGAAAGATTTCATCAATTTTTATAAATTATTTTCAACAATATTTCAATATATAATATTGAAATAATATTTCAAGAAATAAATATAATAAATAACAAAAATTAATAAATATAAATAAAAATAAATTATACGTTTATGAATAAATAATAAATTATAAAACTATCTGCTTATTTAAATTAAATTAAATTAAAAACTTTATTTTTTGCATTTTATATTTTAAAATCCTTTTTATTTATATATAGCAAAGATTAAAAAAATTTCTATGAATAAAAATTTTATTCCAAAAATTTAAAAATTACCCTAAGTGCTTTTCTTTGCTGATAAAACGATATGAAACACATAAGAATAACAATAGCAAATAGTATAACTGAGCAGTATAAATTTACTGGCTCGACATTACCATTGGCTAAATGTATGAAATATGTTGCCATACTTAATATTGCTGCACCTGAACAATAAAATTTATCAATTTAAGGCTAGGTGAAAATATATTAATTTATTTAAATTTATTTATTAATGTTGCTCAATTCGGAGGGCCAATGCTGAGGTTCGATTCCCTGCAAGAGCAAACCTATACAAAAAAACCGAATGATGCTGGCGACTCACCTGTATTTCCATCGCCAGGCATATTGCCCAATGCGACAAGCCAATAGAGCGAGTCTAATCAGAAATGGTGAGGGCTCTTTAAAAAAAAATTTATTAAGTTTGGAGACGTCTTACCTTACAGCCAACATAGCCAGCCTAACCAGTAATGGTGATATTGTTAGAAGAAGAAATTAATGTAAAAGACCATCATTTCAATAAAACAGTTGTTTTGATTATCAAAGCCAATAATTAAGGATCTGCTGAATTCGCGGAATGTAAGGAGAACTAACTGCTTAACTCTAAAAGTAGTAACTCTAACTCTCCGTAAGAATCAGCAAAAATTCTTTTATGGAGGCCAGAATTTCATCTTGAATGGCCGAGTTAAGTGATGGGAATAATAATGATATTAAGTAATATTTACATATATTTCAACATCTTCAGAAAGTTCTAAATTTATTTTTTTTGAGTAAAACCTACTACTATAGGATCCTTTCTTCTAAAGCTATAAGGTTATGTCTTCAATATTCATGAACAATAAAAGTTTCCATATTCTTTGGAGTTGCGAAATTTTCAAAAGATATTTAGGATATATTTTATAAACAGGAAAGGAGCAGAATGGCTCAGTGGCTTGTCGTTCTTATTTTCTTATTTAAAACAAAGATGCATAAACCCCTAGGAAGATTCAGCCTGTCTTTTAAAAATCGAGCGATTTGGCACCTCAGTTTTTCCACCTCTCCTTGTCAAAATTTATCTGGTCCAAGCCAGTGTAGAGAGATTAACCAGAAAAATAAATTGAATGAAAAAAAAAATCAGTACCAATCAACAGTAACCAAAATTTGTATAGAAACTGTTGAAGAAATAATGCAATGTCATTGGTTTCATTGGGAGGTTCAATTCGATTGGCACCTCCATCATGCAGTCTTTTCCTTTAATAAAACAAGTGAATATTTAGGATCCAACTGACATATTTTTATCGGTATGATAACACTTTATTAATTTGCATTATTTATAACATATTTTTGTTGATTTTAATTTTCCAATTTTAACACTATGAATGATAAAGAAAAGGAGATTTGCACCGATCATTAAGACTATGATTTGCACCAAATTCCACCAAAATCTTCTTCAAGTTCAGAAACTGTTTTTTCTTCTGGGAAATCTTAAAGTACAGTATGTGAAAGAGAAAGAGATCTATAAGAGATCTTGCCTTGACACAACTGATCAGGACTTCTACACATTTATATTTTATATTTATATTTTTTATATTTTTTTATATTTTATATTTATAAAAGAGAGAGAAATTTATGCAACCAAACGCTGGAACCAATGAATTATAAAAAAGGAACCAACGCCGCTTCTTTTGAGCTTAATCCTTCACTTCTTTCAGGAAATTCCACATTAATAAAAGAATCGCTATAAATATCCTTCACTTCTGCTACGGTAAGATGATGTTCCACATAGGAACTTCCAAGATCTTTCCAGCGAACAAGTTCGTCGCTCTCTGGCTTAACAGCATTTTTTCGTCGAAGAAAAGGCTTTGAAAAACGAATACTTCCAGCTGAAATAATATTGAAAAAAAAATTTTTATCTTATGAAAAATAATTTGAATAATCAAATAATTTTAAAGGATATATTTAATGGCAAACATGCACGAATTATTATTATTTTTTAAGAGTCCTCACCATTACTGGTTAAACTCGCTCCACTGGCTTGTCGTAATTGGGCAATACGCCAGAGAGAGTCTCTTGCCGATAAAAATACAGGTGAGTCGCCAGCATCACCCGGATTTTTGTACAGCTTTATTCCCGTGGGGAATCGAACCTCAGCATCGGCGCTCCCAATTGAACAACAATCCACTGAGCCATTCTATCCCCTAAACATGGCCTTATGTTATTTCCTGCAAGGTTCCATGGATGAGATCATCTGACAGCCTTACCTCAGTCTTCTTGGGCTCTAATAGAGGAACTGAGGTTGAGGACGATCCATAATCCACACCATCTACAGGCGATGAGAAGTCATATAATATATTATATTCAATATACTGAGGAATTAATATAAATTTGAGCTAGCCAGATAAAAACTGAATAATTTATTGAAGAACTAGCCGTAGGCCATATTTTAATTTTCAATGAATAAATTCGCGCGTTGAGCCGGTTTCCATATATATTTAAAATATATGTTGTGTTTCTTAACCAATAATATTTGAGCTGTTGTGTGACATAAAATCACTGCAATAAACTTCAAATATTTTTGTAGTTCAACAAATTAATACCAAAAAATAATTCGTATCTTATTTAATTATTTTTTATTTTTTTTATTATTTATTTTTACCAATGGTGATGGTGATGGCGACTCACTTACACGTACTTCTATCTCCAAGAGACTCCCTGTTAAATTTGTCTAGTGTGATAAGTACCAGAGAAGTGAGTCTAATCAGTAATATTGAGGGTTCTTAAGAAAGGATTCTTAAAAAAGAAAGTTCTACCAATGAAAGATAGAAACGAACTGATTTACAACGAAATCAAAAAAACAATATCAAGCCATATATCGAATGGCTCAATGCGTTGTTATCCTCTAATTTAAACGATCCATGTTGGAGTTTTATTCTCAACAGTAGTAAAAAAATCTTGGTGAAATGGGCGATTCACCTGTATTTTTATTCCTAACTGACTCACTGGCAAAATTTTGTGTGGTCTGACAGGACTGTAAAGGACTGCGGAGAAAATGAAATGATTGAGTGCTCTACAAAAATTTAAAGAGGAATACAAAAACCAAGGAAGTCATTAAAACTTTTAATTTAGTTGGTTCATTAATATGAGAACCAATCCTCAGAGAATCAGATGAACTTAAAAGCACAAGCAGTTCTTTAGCATCACCAGTTTTCTTCATTACATCACAAGATTTCATTTTTAATGGTAGGTTTCCTTTAAGCGACAGGAATCAAACTCCAGTCGAATGTTCAATTTTAATCGGAGTATTTATCCTTCTTATTGGATGTGAAAACGATTCGTATCGTTGCTTCATGTTCACTTTTTTTTGACGGCTCGTATCGTTGCTTCATGTTTACTTTTTTTTGTAAGACCTGGACTGATACGGTCAGGAAAGATTTTGAACATGAAGGTGGACCAGCAATATAAGGACTTAGACGATGGAAAAAGGAATGGCTTCTGTTACTGTCGACGATGGCATCAGACCGCGCCGCTTGGAAGCAGTTTACTCTTTTAGCCGTTTGAGCCAGCCTAACCAGTAATGGTGAGAGCTTTTAGAAGAAGAAAGATGAAGAAGATTACTGGTTAGACCCACTGGGTTGGTTTATTATCGGATTTAAATAAAAATTATTATGCCAAAACCTAAATTTATTGGAAAATTATTCAAATTTATGATATTTAAATTTATGATATATATTTACAAAATAATAAAAGTTAATAAAAATCATAAAACTATTAAAACGTTCAAAAGACGTTTATCAAATGGTACATAGAGTGATTAAAAACAAAAAAAATGGTTGAGACGAGTTTTAGCATATCATACATATCATATCATATCATATCATATATCACTAGAATCGTCTTAAATGATATTATATAATTTATTTTATATTATATAATAAAAATTTGGCGAAGAAAACGAGTATAATGATAGAAGAGCGAATGATATTAAACATTTTCTTAAAACGACTTCACAGCGATTCATCTGCCGTAAAAACTTGTTATTTTATCATCATCGATTCAATAGGAAATTATTTCAACTTAATTTCATAATCTAAAATTGCTTAATTTAATTTAATTTTTTTTTCGTCTCAAAAATAAAATTTGTCAAATTTATGACACATTTTTTTTTCTACGATTGTTTACAATAAAATTAAAGGGAAAAAAGGGAAAATTTTATTTTTTACTTTAATTATCAATTCAAAAGATTTTAAAAATAGAAAATAATTGAAGATAAGTTGATAAATTAAATAAAAATAAAACTAAAAATAGAAGAATCGTATTGATAAACCCAAAATTTACAATTTCTAAAAGTGCGACCACCGTTTTATTTTAGATTCGTTTCGGTTGGCTTATTAGATTTGACAAATTTTGCCACTGAATTTTTCGAAAGATTTTGGAAGATAGGTTTTTTTTCGAGCGGAGTAGAACCGTAGCACCGATCCACTCGAAATGGCACTAACAACCCTGTTGAGCCATTCTCTCACATTCAACTCTAATGAGTTAATAATAATTTAACCAATTTTTTGCAATCTTTCCTAAAAGCTCAAGAATTTCTATTTGATAATTCTATAAGACTTTAGTTTAAGGGCTTTTTAAAATTATTGGTGCGAAAAATACATATTAAAATAATTAATATATTAAATGTTTATTTAGACAGGAACGTCAGAAAAAAGGAATATGAGAAATTAAAGGAATGCTACGGGCTGAAAGAGGAACTAGAGGAAGTGTGGAAAGTAAAGGCAAAAGCAATCCCAATGATAATTGGATGACCTGGAAGTGTGATCCCTAGAAAAGTCGCTGCAGCAGATCCCAGAAACAATATTAGAGATTTCTATCCAGAAGGACGCACTATTAGGAATACCTAAGATACTGCGCAGAACCCTCAATCTCCCAGTCTTCTGGCAGAGGACTCGAGGTTGAGAATGATTCCACGAGGGATTGAGAGAAAAATTTTAAATTTTTTTTAAAAATATGAAAGATTTAGAACGAAGATTTAATTATTTCTCTCTCTCCGAATTTCTCTCTTATTGTTCTCTCTTAAATTTATCCCAAGGTTTTTAAGGGTTCAATTTAAATTGCTTGCTTTGCTCCAAATAACAAGCCTATTGCTAATTCCGTTGCAAATAAGGCCAAACCAGCAGAAAAGCAAAAATTCGAGGAAAATGAAGCATTTCATGATCAACTGATAAGGTGAATTCATCGAAATTCGTTTTAAAAAAATGGCAAATTCAACAATATTACCTATTTTTCATTGACTAATCGTAATTTTATTTTGGCCTTCTTTTATCCTTAAAGGATGAAAACTAATTTAACTATGGAGTAATTTTTTTGAAATTCATAAAAAACCGAGAATGTAAAATTTGGCTAATTGTTAGACATTCACACGCTACTTCTATAGCTAATTAGGTTATTTCTTCAAATGATTTCTTTCGAGACGCACAAGGTCATTGGCACATATAACAAATATCGTGTCTGATAAAAAGAACAGAATGGAAAGAGCCCTCGAGCAATTATTCAAAATCCATTTAGGGAAGCGAACAATAGTTCGGTCTATTAGTAGGGTCATTAGTATGAGAAAGCCATATCGAAATCTCATGAAAGTTGAAAATCAAACACTAACACCGTGCATATTTTGTTATTTTTTTGCTTGTCGAGAATTCGCTTTCGATACTCCAGATACTTGGGGACAGAATGGCTCAGTGGGTTGTTGTCCAATTGGGAGCGCCGATGCTGAGATTCGATTCCCCGCAGGAGTAAACCTGTAAATCTTTACAAAAATCCGGGTAATACTGGTGACTCGCTTGTATTTCTATCATATTGCCCAATGCGACAAGCCAGTGGAGCAAGTTTAACCAGTAATGGTGAGGACTCTTTAAAAAAAAAAAAAACTCTAGGTCTGTACTTACTGTGCTTGTCTCAAAAATACTGGTTACCACTGTTGTGCTTTGGAGACAATAAATGAAAAGATTTGATCAGCTCTCATTGTATGGATGAATTGCCCATGTTTATTTCAAAGGAAACTTCACATCTCTGTCATCAATGTATATACTCCTATCTTGCGCGCAAATGACAAAATTTCTTCGCGCAATCGCTAAAATCTCTCATAAAAGGCAACAGAAATGCGTAACCAAGCATGATGCTTGATGAATGGCTCTTTAGGATGGCTCTCAAGCATATGAGTCATAAAAGAAGTCATTACTTTCTCAAAGAACAACTGGGTAACTACTTTTATCGCGGCGATGAAACTGGCAATGAGCGTGTAGCTTATTTTCTAGCTATTAATAATTATGAAACGAATCTCGTGAATCCCTTTAAATGCTTACCGATGCAACCATCATTCCTGAATCCGAAATTCTACAGTGGAATACTTTTTTAGGAATACCAAAAACTACAGAAAATAAGCTAAACGCTCATTGCCATTTGAAAGATCTATTACAAAGCAGATGGGCAATAATATTCTTTTTGTAGTAATTGTCGGCTTAGCCGACATTATCAAAGCAAAAGCATCTATCTAAGAGAAAAGCAACTGTAACCTTTACTGCAATACGCATAATTGTCCTATCTGGTTGAAATAGGGGCAGTTAAAGATGCATTGTATCCATCTGTATTCATAAATCTTTATCATACATTTTTATTAAACTATTTCTATAGTAGAACATTCCAGGACATTTTTAGCTGCCTATCACAGTATACATTTTGTAAATGGCCTATATAATTTGCTAAATATTATGATGGATGATGGATCAGTAAAGATTTGAATTATTGTAATTAGCAACCATTTGAATAGAATGAATAGGCTATATATGGATTTAAACGATGGAAAAGAATTGGCTTCTGTTGCTTTC